AATTAATTAAAAATATATACTATTATTAAAAACAAATGAAGTAAAAGCAAAGGCGTGCAGGTGCGGTGCCACGGAAGCCGATGACAAACGGCGTCAGGAAGTCAGTTAGCGGAAGGGTTGATTTGCACCCATCGTGGGGTTGGAGGGCTTATTTGCCACTTTTTTAGTTCAGGGGCTTATCACTTGCTGTCAAAAAGTTGAGGGGCTTAAGATGGGTTTTGCCTTGTTTAAATGAATGCAGGAGCGGTAGCAAGCTAAATAAAAAAAGTGAAATGAGGATCAAATGACTAAAATATCCTTCAAGAGGCACCACAATATTTTGAGGAAGCCAAAACAAGAAGTCTGAAATCTGAAAGGGCAAATACGGGTTTTTGATAGCTTTCTCTCACTGGGCTCTTAATATTGAGACTACCAACTTGGTATGGTGTTCCCCCCGGCAAACTGAAGAGCTACTACCGCCATCATCTGCCAAACTGAACTCTCCAAAGAAGAACTCTCCAAAGAAAAACTTGGGGTGAGACAGCTTCTTCTTCTATACATCTTCAATGGAATATAATTCAGTTTCTTTTTTCTTGTTTAATTTTGTTACACTTTCGTCTGCCTCTTTTCTTCTTTTTCTTTTTTTTCTTTTTTTTTAATTTAGAGTTATAGCAGAATCTTAAGATTACTCAATGCAACCTTTGATTTTTGATCTATCATTCTAGATCTAGGAGATGGTATTGATATTTTCATATATGGTTTTAATCTTTCTTTTTTTTGCAGCAGAGTTTACAATGGGTTACTTCTGTTCATTTAGATCAATAGGAGTGGTCAATTCAGCTAAACTGATTCATATGCTTGATGCCATGGAGAGATCGTGTTCTTCCGGTCCCTTGCAGGAAAAATGCAGCCTGAATATCAAATTCACAGAGCGTAACCTGTCCTTGGATGTTTTGTTGGATGAATCCAAAAAAAAAGTCTGCTCCTTTATTTTAGATAAGAGAGATGAAATGCCTACCAATTTTACAATGATTTTTAGTTGCCGAAACAAGATTTTACTTATGGAAGGAATCGACCTGAGGAAACTCCTGAATCAAATCCCAGGTGGCTTAGATGCTGCTAATAATTTCAGTACACTGACTATTGATTTCCTCGTGGCCGACACAGGTATATATACAGCTTTCTATTCCTTTAGTCTGGTATTTGTTTTCCTTATTTAATAGTTTAGCATTTGTTTAGCTCTCTCTTCATTTATTTGTAGATAAAGAAGCTTCAGTTAGTAGTACAGACAATGAGCTATTCATAACACTGAAAGTAAAACAACACCCTGTTCTGCCTAGCGATAGAGATCCTGTAGGAATATTTCCCACAAGTGTCGTTATTCCTTCTGAGGTACTATACCCTGTTTTGAGGCGGTTCACAGGAGAGCTTGAACAACGTATGATCCTCTTCCACTTTTGCTTTAATTTCAAATTTTGATGAAACTTCGTCTGTATTGATATTATATTTTATTTTTACTCTGTTAAAGCAGTTGTTGGTCACACCTTGAGTGTTGAGGCAGAAAATGGTCGGCTACTTCTAAGTATCAGTGGATCTGGGCATAGAGAGCAACTGGTTAGTCAAATTACTATTAAAACTTTCTAAGCTTTCCTCTGGCTTACAAGGTTCTAAACTCATCTTAATCCCTGGAAATATCAGGATGGAGGAAATGGTATTCAGGTACAAGGACAACAGCTAGTTTCAGCAACTTATGACTTGTACAAGGTGTGGTGGTATCTGACAAGCATGCTTAGAAGAGAGCACGGCGTAGTTCTTGTGAACGTAGATGCAGTGTTCATGTCGAACACTAGAGAACATAAGTTATCCTTCAAGGTGAGGTCGGAAAGTGGAGAAGCATTGGGAACTTTGATCGTATATTAGGATTTGCACTGGTTTCTGAAGTCAGTCAGGTACATTGATCCTTTTAAACATCTCATACTAGTTGCAAAAGGCCAAAACTATTAAACTTGAATTTGAAATTTGGTGGAAAAATAATTCATGTTGTGTGGTCCGTTTTTTTTTTTTGGTTAGTTCTGATGCATATCTCTTTGATTTTTCTGTTTGAATTTAGCAAAGTAGACCACATTTTATTTTAATTTTGCTATTATTGTTCTTAAGAAATTAAGAGCCATGTAGTTGTATATATAAATTGGAAAAAAATACAAACATCACTTAGTTGCTTCCCAAATTTCCCTTAATGCTTCGCATACCATATGAAAATTGAGCACATGAACTTCAATACAAGCTTTCATTGTATATTTTAATTCACATATTTTTTTGTTATATACTTGATGTGAGATTTTCTCACTCAGTATATCTTGTGCATTTCCATCCTGAGAAATATTTAGGAAACTGACATCCTCCTTTTCTTCCTTTTTCATCACTTCTATCTAACTAGGCAATTCCTCATCCAGTCTGTACCTCTTTTTCATCCTTATCAGCTAAAGATCTGTCTCTATTCTCAATCTCCCAGCCTTGGCTGGCCATAACTCTAATTCCCAAAATTTTATGATATGACTTTGCTTACAATATGTTACTCATAAGTTCTTGCTTTATCCAGCTCCAGTTTCTGAA